CTATGCTTTACAGGCAGGAAGCCCATGGGAAGGCATTTAAGACAGCCACAATTCCCCTGCATTCTGCAGGTACCATCTCTGGTCTAACAGAGCTGTCTCCAGGAAGCAAGGATTGTTCCTCTCTGGCTTTGGGCAAGGAAAGTAGGAGAAGAACAGAGACCTTTTGTGTGTGTGTGATTCTCTGTCCTGTGCTAGATAACCAGAGTGAAAATCAGAGGGAGACTTCATTTTTAACTGTCTTTAGCTCAACAATCATCAGTATTTTAGTAAGAAATATTTCAGTTTCCTTCACTGTCAAATTAGTCAAACCCAAGGAAGGGCCCCTAGTAACTCTGATGTCTACCCAGAAACCTGAGTCACAGATTGGGACTGCAGTGGAGCTGTCTGATGGGATGGAGCCCACATCCCACAGGATCTAACCTTTGTGTCACAATAGCATTATTGAGCAAACATCTGCATCCACTGGAGAGCTATTAAGTGCGCTGAGCAGAAAGGAGAGAGCAAGAAAAGCACTTTGGAAAATCTTTTCCTATCTCTTATATGCCTTAGATACTTATCAAGTACTTCCTATAAAATGCAGAGTGGGGCAGATGTGGAGCAAGAGATTACGCTGCTGCTTGGGATGCCAGCATCCCATATCAGAATTCCTGAGATGCCTACTCCACTTGCAGTATAGACGGGCCTGTGCTGTGGCATAGCGGGTAAAGCTGCTGCCTGCAGTGCTGGCATCGCACATGGGCGCTGATTCAAGTCCCAGTGGCTCCACTTCTTTGGAGGGCCCAGGTTCAGTTCTCTGGGGCAGAGGCAGGCCAGGAACTGAGAGCAGCGACATCCAAGACTCCACGTTAAAGTCACTGTTCTGATTGGCTGTACGGCCACCTTTGCTGACCCCATGAGCCCCGCTCGGAGACAATTCTGCTGAACAGAACTGCTCTGTGTGGGGACAGCATTAGGAAAATCAAGCAAGGGAGCTCCATGCACTTCCTAGGGCTGCCAGAACCAAGTGCCACAAACACATGGCCTATTCGTGCAAGTCCCTGTCGCCTGGTTCTGGAGTCCAGAGTCTGAGGTCAAGGTGTCAGCGGTGGGCCCTCAAGGACAGTGGGGCACAATCTGCACCATCACTCACCCTGCCTGCTGCTTCGTGACAACATTGGACACTCCTTGACTTGAAGACCCACAGCCCTGCCTCTGCCACCTCCTCATGTGCCTCTCTGTCTCCGTGTCCATCTTTCCCCCTTTTCATGAGGTCGCCAGTGCTATTAAATCAGAATCCACCCTAGGAACCTCATTTTAACTTCATCAATTTTGTGATGGCCCCATCTCCTAGTGAGGCCACATTTTGAGGTTGCATTTCCTGTTACATTGTGTCTCTGCAGAACCTTGAGTGATATACTTGTGATACCTGCAGCCAAGGTGTTCCAGTAGAGGCAGTGCACACTTTGACACCAAACACCTCAACCTAGACTCTCTCCACACATTCACTCATTCCCTGACATGTCCCTGACAGCAAAGAATTTCCAGGGCTGTCCTTCCCAATGGCTGCAGGAAGACATTCCTGATTTAGATGGGTTCCCTCACTCCCCATCCCCACTGCACACCCTCAGGGTAATGCATTATGTGTCCCTGACTTCCTCAGGGACACATGTTTGTCTTTTCTCTTCTGTGCCGCTTCCTATTTGGATCTAGAAATAAGATTTCCTTTTCACTGTGGGGAGCTCATGTCTGGGTTAATCTGACCGTGAGCTCTGTAAGTACAACAGTGTACCTTGGAGGCTTTGTTCACCTGGTTCCATTCAATGACCAGAAAATCTGCCTCAAATTCTTCAGTTCAGCATTACTCTGCATTTTGGAGTATGTGCAAGAGAAATTCAGCACTGTTTTGTGGCTACCAATGCTGGGTTCAGGCCACTCTTAATTTGTTTGTGTTCCTCAACAATTTTGGTTTAATAATGATACCTGTTTGGCCAATGGGAGCAACCATGCATGTTCTGCAGGTGATTCAGGTAAACTTTCATGGTCAGATCCAGCTTTCTAAACTTGAGCTCTCTGCCATGAGGACAACCTGTCCCCAGCAGCAGCGGCTGCTCCTATAATCTGGAAACTAGAATGTAAACCCAGGTGGTATGCACTTGAACCTGACCTTCTGCCTGAAGTTAAACCCATCTGAGTCCAGAAGAACCTCGGTGGCCCACAGCCCTCCTGTTACATGGACAAGAAATAAGCACTGGCTGTTGCAGTCATCGAGGTATGGGGCTTGCTTGTTATCACAGAGAAGGCTGTATCAGTATCAGGGTGACAATGGGGGACACCACACTGACTCAAAGCAGGCCGTCCCCAGCAGGAAGGGCACTCAGGAGGTGTTCTTTTGGCTTCCCAGGGGCACCACCTCTCTTCCTGGTTCTGTGTGCTGTGAACCAGCTGGTACCACTTTGCCATTACTTCTCAGGTTTGGGACTTTGGTTCAGTGCTTGGCTGGGGAGTGAGAAACTCTGAGCAGGGCAGAATGGAAGTGAAATTCTGAGTGGTTACAAAGTTAACATGCAAACCACACCCGAAAAAATTCCTGAGTAAAGAAAAACAAACATTCTCTGAAATATCCTGGACCTTGCACATAAAGAACAATGCAGAAAATCTTGTCTCCAATAATCTGCTAAACACTTGAATTACATACAAGAAAACAAAACTGAAACTAGCAGTGCAGTGAAACATGATGGGCTAGGGACTTTCCAACAGGGCAAGCCCAAAATAGGATCTTTTATAACTGCAACCAATCCGATAACGGTCTGGCTGTGCTTGTACATCTGCCTTATAAATACTTGCCCCTGGCAATTGTTTTCATCAAAACAGGTGCCTGAGGCACTCTGCGTATTTTCAGGATGGCTGAGGTAAGTGCCTCTTGATTTACAAGGAAAATCTGGAAGGGACGACTCCCAATTAGGACTCAGCTGGTCTTGGGAAGAGTGGGAATGAGCCTCTGTTTTGAAAGCTTGCATAGAAACCCTGCTATTATTCAGAAGTCTCTTTGCCATGGGAGACCGGGAGCTCTTTGCAGAGTGGGCACCTCCTTTTGGTGTCCACAGGGCTTGACTATGGTTCTGAGGTGCTGGGAGAGGCATGGGGAGGCCGTGTAAAGGAAGCTGGGACCCTGTCCTAGAAGCTGTTATACAAGATCCCTGCGTGCCCTGTAGATTCAAACTCTGTGCCTGTACAGCTTGAGCCATCTTTTCCCTCCTGCTCAACTTCTCCCCCACCTCCCCATCACCACTTCTTTCTTTTCTTTAATTTGCATTTAGTTTAAACTGAATTTGTTCCTGAGACATAAGTTTTTGTTTCTTCAGTTTATTCTAGACTGTCTTTTTTCTTCTGTGCCACTTCCTGTTTTGATTTAGAAATAAGTTGTTCCTTTTCACTGTGGGGAGCTCATGTCTGGGTTAATCTGACTGTGTTCTCTGTAAGTACAACTGTGTACGGTGGATGCTTTGTTCACCTGGATCCATTCAATATCCAGAAAATCTGCTTCAAACTCTTCAGTTCAGCATATTGGAGTATGTACAAGACAAATTCAGCACTGTTTTTTGGATACCAATGCTGGGTCCGGGCCACTCTTTAGCCTGGGCACACCTACCACTTCCACCATTGGAATGTCACACATTGCTTCTTTAAAGTCACATCTTTCAGATACTTGTGACTTTTCAGATGTGCACACCCTTGATGGCCTGGGCAGTTTTTTGGGTGTTCCTAAAGTGAATGTGATTTGAGCCCCTATTTTTAGGATTGATTTATTCATTTCATTGAAACAGAGTTACAGAGAGAGGGAGGAAAAGAAAGAGATTGCTCCTATCTGTTGGTTCACCCTCAAATGGTCACACTGGCCCAGGGTGGGGCTAGGCTGTAACCTAGAGCCCAGAACTCCATGCAAGTCTCCCACATTGGAGCAGGGGCCTAAGGACCTGGGTCATCTTCTGTTGCTTTCCCAAGGCCCAATACCAGCAGGCTGGATCAGAAGCAGGGCAACAGGGACTGGAACCAGCACCCTGATATGGGATGCCAGTATGAGGGGCAGTGGCTGTGTGGTGCCACAAAGCCACCCCCCCCTTTTAAGATTTGTTGGTTTACTTGAAAGGCAGATGGACGGGGCAGGAAGAGGAAGAGAAAGATATGAATCAGGATCTGCATGATGTTGTGGGGCTTTCTGGGTGAAGTGCATAGCAAACTATTTTCACAGATCCCCTAAGCCTGCTTACAGGAAGAGCCCATCTCTTTAACACCAGTAACTCCCCTGCTATGCCACCTCCTGGAGTCTCCTTCAGCAGAGAAACACTTGGTTAAACGGACACTTGCAACCCCACCATCCTATATTGGAGCTCCCACCTCAGTCCCAACTGTTCTGCCTTGAATCCAACGCCCTACTAATGCCCCTGGGAAGATAGCAGAGGGTGGCCCAACTATTACCATGTGGGAAACCAGGATGGAGTTCCTGGCTCCTAGCTTTGGCCTGGCCCACACCTGGCTGGGGAGGCTGTTTGGGGAGTGAAAGCTGAGTTGGTGTGGCTGGTGCACGGGTTGTGAGAGCCATCACCAGATCTGGGGAATTAGCAGACATCAGTTTTCCAAGGGAAAAAAGGGACACATAACACAGGCAATATCAGCCCAGAATGATGATGGGGCAGGGCTTAACGGGGCAGGAATAAATAGAACTTTTCATTTTGGGGGTATTTGGATTTTTGTTTCATTTTGTTTGGTTTGGTTGTGGTCAAAGCAAAGCAGTATGTTTATCATCTGGACTTTCTGAGTTAGCACCCAGGTTGGGGGCCAAGCAGGATGCAGGATGGGGTTAGCCAGGCACTAGATGGTTCTTCTGGTAAATCTGTGGTTTTTCTGGCAATGGACTGTGAGCTTTTGACCCAGGCAAGAGCACAGTGTGGGGAGGGGCCTCCCTCTCAGGTGTAAGTGGAAGTAATGGAGCTGCTTGAGCTTGCAGGGAGTGATCCAGTGGATGGAAGCACTTTCATTCTCTCTCTCTCTCTCTCGCTCTCTCGCTCTCTCCGCCCCCCTCCTTTCTCTCCCTCTCCTCCTCCCTCTGTCTCTTTCTTTGTTGTTCTGCCCTTCAAATAAATGAATGAATTAAAAAGAAAAGAAATATGCTTTCATTTTCCATCAAAAAGCTTTCCCTTTTTCCTATTTCTCCCACAAGCTACTGACCTAACATCCAGTCCCCCTTGCAGAAAAATCCTTAAAAGACTTGCCCATGCCCACTGTCACCAACTCTCTCATGTTCTCTCCGGAGCCCACTCCAATCAAAATTTCACCCTCATTTCTCTAAAAACCTGCTGTCTCTAACACTCTACTCATTCCTCCACCTGTGGACACACCTGCTTGCTTCCAGGCCACAGCCTAGGTGATTGCTGTCTTTGTCTCCTTTGCGATACTTCTTTTGTTTCATATCTTTTAGGCTCAATCATCAGTCCTCTCCTTTTCTCTCTCTACTCACTGCCTTGTCAATCTCATCCAGTCCAGTGGCTTGAAACAGCTTCTTGTTAACAACGACTCCCAAAGGCACGGCGGCAGCCGAAATCTCCCTCCCCGACTCCAATCTGGCAAATCCAATAGTCAAGTCTTGACTAAGTTCCAAACCATATATCCCATGTGGTCTGGGAAATAACACAAAATTGCACAGAGAACATGCATGTCATGGCAAACTATAGGCAAATTAATGAAGACTGGGACAAGGGGAAGTTTGAGAGGAGAAAGATTACATCAGTATATTGAAACCATAAGCATGGGCCACAATGGTTCATCACCAGGGTGATTTTAGTTTGAGGTTGAGCAGGCAGTTCCTGGGCAGCTGTCCTCACAGAAGTACTTTTCTAGTAAGTCTGTAGAGGTCTCAGTGGAATAGTGTAGTTCTGGCACAGTCTTTCATGATAGTTCCTAATAGGCAATCAGGTGTAAGACCTGTTTCTTTGTAATCTCCTGGCTTTATTTATTTCCTTTGGCAGGATTGACACAAGTGACCCCATTTTGATTGTGACAACTTTCCCAATCCATTCACCTCACTTTCCCTTATTCCAACTGACAGCAGCCCCTTCCTTTCATTTGCTGGGACCAAACCCCTGGAACAATCATTAACGCTGTTTCTCTCACACCCCACAGCCAACTCTCTAGAGAAGCCTTGTGGTTTTACTTTCAAAACGCATCCAGAAGCCAAGCATTTTCCCCCAGTTCCTGCATTACACATGGCCCAAGCCACCATATCTATCACACATTCCCACAACATCCACTGCCTGCTTTGCTCTCTAAGTCCTGCCTCTTCACAGCTGTTTTTAGCGCAGAAGCCAGAGAAACCCCTGGACATGGAAGATCACATCACTTCTCTCTTCCTAACCCATTTTTTATCCAGAAAGTGCTCATGCATCCACCTTTTGAGAGCTTTCCTAAACCATGCCTGCCTTTCCCTTAGAGGCACACTGATAGCGAGTTCAAGAAATGATTCTCTTAAATGGGTACTGGATCCATTTCTTTTTAACCTTGATTTTGTTGATGATGGCTATTTAATGAAAAATGATCTTTCCGAATTACGAGCTAGTGGCCAAATCCTAATGGAATTTGAGACAATGAAACTAGAGGATTTCTGGTGTGCTCAATTCACAGTGTTTCCAAACTTGGCAAAGATGGCTCTAGAAATCCTCGTGCCATTTGCAACTACCTACCTTTGTGAGTTGGGATTTTCATCACTTTTACATTTTAAAACAAAGTCAAGAAATTGCTTTAATATGAGTGAAGACATCGTGTGGCTATTTCAAAAAAAGTTCCTCGTTTCTCAGACATCATTGAACAAAAGCTACAGCAGAAGTCATTATAAGCTGATACACTTTTGGAATGTATAATTTTCTAGTATATTCTTAATAGCATTGTAAAATTAAAAAAAAAGAAATGGTTCTCTTATACCCACATTTCAGGCTCACAAAACCCAATGAGACACTTCCCCATGAGGTCTGGAGAGGACAGCGGAGTTCCCTGAAGACACAGAGATGATCCATGACAGAGCCACCATGCCAGCTCAGTTATTTGGACCCCCGTTTCAATGCTCATCTCTTCTCAATGTGCTCTGCTTTCAGCTCTCTGGGATGCTCAACTTTGGTGGGAGGATCTTGAAGAGGATAGTTACCCTTGTGAATAATTCAAGAAGTCAAGAAACGAATCAAACTCCTCCAACTCTTCAAACTCCTCAGCCTGCAATGGTGAGTCCTGAGGCTAATCTGCGGGTGGGAAGATGTTCCAAAGAGGATGGAGTTGAGGGGGGCTTCATCTTTCTGCCCAGGGGCAGAAAGAATCCTGTGGGGTGTCTATGGACCTGCACACATGCCCTCCTTCTCCTACCCAATAAGCACACCTCTATCTGCCTGTGTCTTCCAGGTGAACGTGTTGTATGCACCAGCTCTCAATATACATATTGAAAACCCAAACACGAGTTGCACATTCGTCCCCCAAAAACATTTGGCTAAAACCGAGTAAGGCTAAAGATGCTGGATTAAAAGTCCTCCTCTTTCTGAGCTTCCACACCCCAGGCTCCTCCCTTCTGGATAAACCAAGGAAAATGTCTCTCCAAATGCTTGCAATCTGGACTTCATGCTTCCTTTCAGCCTGGTAAATCCCTCTATTAATATACTGAAAAGAAGATAAGAATTGTAAGTGGATTTTAACTATGAGCTCTACTCTAGGCAGATGCGCATTTGTATGTGCGTGCAGCATTCACACCCATGTATTATAATGCTCACACCAGAGGGCTTCCCTGCATGACAGCCTATAGGGCTTCACTCGCTCAATTGTTAATTCATCTAATAAATATGTGCTAAACACTTGGCATGTTCCAGGCTCTATTCATTGCAGGAGGAGGGTGAACATTGATAAACATGACATAATTCTTGAATTCGGAGAATGGTGACAACATGAGACAGAAAACTGTGAGCACTTTTCTCTAACACAAGTAGCCTTAGGGAGATGGGCAGAAGGAATACAGAGACAGGTGTGATGGATTCTGCAGTGTTAGGGGCAGGCATGAGGAAGGTGGGAAACAAAGCTGCTTGAAAAAGCAACACTTGAATGGGGTGGTGGGGGCAATAAGGGTTCTTTTCAATGGAGAATGGAACGACACTATTTAGGAGATCATTGGAGAGAATGGGTCTTCCACTGAAATGACCAGCCCTTGTATAAGCTGTTACTACTGAAGCTACAGAACTCAGGAATGGATAATGCCTTCACATAAGAAATCTCTGAGTCAGGAGGTTAGTATGCGACTATTCATAAAATGAGAAGGACATGTTCCAAAGAAAAACTGGGGTGTATATGACTTCCTTATTGATAGGTGATTCCTTAAGTGCTGTTATCTGGGAGTGAAAGCTGAGTTGGTGTGGCTGGTGCACGGGTTGTGAGAGCCATCACCAGATCTGGGGAATTAGCAGACATCAGTTTTCCAAGGGAAAAAAGGGACACATAACACAGGCAATATCAGCCCAGAATGATCATGGGGCAGGGCTTAAAGTAACTTTACTCTTGCGAATAGTTCCAGCCTCAGATTTACCTAAGAAGTGGTGTCTGGCATTCCTCACCCTTCTGCACAAGCCTCTCTTTGCCTGGAATCCTGCTGATGGCCCTCATTTGGTTGGGAACAGCCAAGGTTGCCAGGCTTCAGGTAGGTTTTCATTTGCTAGAAGTGTGGGCCTTTCGAATCACAGGTGATGAAATTGGGCTTTTACAAAATAAATATGGATGTGCAATATTCTGGTTCTAGGCTGGCCCTTTGTGCCTCTGTTGTGTAAGTGAGGGTGCTAGCACATCAAGCGCTCTGAAAGATGGCATCCTGTGCTCCCTTCTCTGAGCAGTGAGTAGACAGAGCCAGTCTGCCCTTCTCCACACCACCTGCCAGGTTGCTTCTTCCCAAAGACCCTTCCAACTCCACGCCCTCTCATCCTGAACTCTGATCTTCCACTTGACCCTACACTCTGTAGTCAGAGCATCTTTCCTGACTTTTTTGAGGTAGGGTAACTCTGACATTGTGGAAGTGGTACAGCCCCTGTAGTGCAGGTCATCTCAGAAAAAGTACTTTCTAATTCACCTGCTGCTTCTCCAGGTAGGAAGCACCTAATATCTGATGCAGACTCTTGCCCTGCTGAAATCACCATAGTGTGGAGAGCGCCACAGTTCCTTCTGTAGCCTACTGCCTGTCCTGATAGTCCTGGGTTCTGAGGCCCAGGGAGACCCCACACACATAAACCTGGGGTGACAGTGCCTCCTGTGGAGAACAAAATTCTGTGCTTTTTATGTACCAGTCCAGAAGCCACCCATCTACAAGGCTTCATCTACTCCACTCCACTCCATATCAATGTAACAAAAGAATTAGAAGAGGCTTTGGAGGTCTATGCATAGATGAAAACACAGAGGGACTGAGGGCAGAAGTTTTCCCAGGGTCTTCAGCCCAGATGGGAGCCCAACCTGGGCTGGAACCAGATCTCCAGATGGCCAGTCCAGGGATCCCCTTGCCAAAACAAGGGCAAGTAGTGGGGAAAATGGGTTTCCTGATCATAACACTCTGTCTCTACTCCTCAGACTCCACTACCACTGACTGGTTTTGTCCCCAGTTCCTATGCACTGAAGCTGTGGCTCTCACCAGGTCACCAATGCCCTCCACATCCAAAGGTCTACTTCAAACCTCATCTGATTTGTCTTTGGCAAGAATTAACCCACAAAACAACCCTCATCTTAACACATTGTCTTCTGGTTCTGCTCCAGGTTCTTCAATGCAATCCTCATTCTCCTGTGCGTGCAACTTGTTCTCCTCATGTCCCTCCACTATCGCACTACCCTTCACCTACTAATTCAAGAGTACTTAAGCTGGTGTCATGGAGCTGATGTGAGAATCCAATGTGCTCATCAGTGCCATAAATTGCTGCAAAATGATTAACCCAGAAGACCCAGGTGCCTGAATCACCATCCTCTAACTGAGGATTCCTTATGAAAGAGACTGGCTCTTTCCTGGTTGAAATGCCTGCCAGTTAGCAAATTCAAGTGCCACTTCCTTAGGGAAGCTACCCGGGGTTCTATATGAGTCATGAAAAAAGAAAAACTCAACATTTCTGTCACCAAAATGTGGTGGGATTTTTCCCACACAGGTGGCTTTTCCTGTGGACATCACTGAGTATCCTGTACTTTGATTCACTTGTGACACTGTCTACCTGGACTTAGCATCAGATCCCAGAGGTTAAGGGTTGTGTTGCACAAGACGTACCCCACAGCAGAGGCCAGTTGCAGGCCCAGGCCTTTGGTTCAACATCCAACTGGTTACCATTTGAGGCTTCCCATGATACCCTTCTTTGCTAGAGCAGCTCACATAACTCAAGACAGAGCATTTCCACTTACCAGGTTACCAAAAAGAATGGTGAATCTTCAACGGCTCACCAGGTGTGCAACCTGCTTTCTGTTTAGCAACCAAGAAGCTCTCAGAACCCTGATGTTCAGGGATTCTTTTGGAGGCTTCCTTGTCAATCTTCAGCCTCTCTCCCCTTTCTAGAGGAGACGAATGAGGCTGAAATTTCCAAGCTTCTAATCAGGGCTCTGACTTCCTGATGAGCAGCTGCCATGCAGGAGCCAACAAGAATCACCCCAGTGGAACAAATGATTCTCCTGTCACCCAGGAAATCCTAAGATTAGGAGTTTTGGCTCAAGACCAAATAGTGCAACAAAATACCCTTATTGTTCCCAATTTGTAAGGGTTTTAGGAGTTCTATGCCAGCAACTGGATGCAGAGGCTATAAATATATGATTGGTTCCTATAAAGTGAAGCATGCAGATCTGTGGTAGGAGCAAAGAAGCAGGTGCTTGCAAATGCGACAAGGCGGTGAGGACATGCAGAATCTGAGGAGTGGAGTTTGGAGTTTTTTTAATCATGACTTTTTAATATTGTGGTTTAAAAAAAACTGTGATTTAACATTTCACAGTAGCTAATTGCACTTGCATTCACAGCTGATCCCATCCTCCCTAAGAACTGAGACATTACATTGGGAGAGTCATTTCAGTCTTCCCAAGATCTATTACAATGTAAGGGGGTGTGTCATGTCAAGGAAAGGCACCTGCTTCCCAGGGCCCCGCCCCCCAGCCCAACCCCAGTGTCATGCTATGAGCCACATTTCCATGACCTTTCCTTCTGGGACCACTCATGTTGATGCATTAGCTTCCCTGGGCAGGTTCAGTCTTCCTGAGTGTAGACACCATGTCTTCAACAACTCCTGCTCTCCTGTCATGCTCTGGATAAGCCTTGACACATGGCAGCTGTTCACTGAATATTTCGTTGAAGTAAAAGTACCATCTTCCTTCCAGTAAAGAAGCCATGATAAATCCATCCACCCAGTTGTTCCGCTCTCTGTCTCCCAGGTGCTGGTAATGCAGTGGTAAACAGATGTAGTTCCTGGCCTCTGGGAGATTCCATGCAGTGTATGAGACAGGCAAGTCACATGGTCTTTCAAGTGAAGCAAAGTGAGGTGAGAGAAACAAACAGGACACTCTCATAGGCATAAATAGAGAGTAGGAAGAAGAGATAGATGTAGGATGGACGTCTGCACGGAGATTTGACTGCACAGGGTGGGGCCATCAAAGCCAATTTCTGCAGAGGCAGTGACATCAGGCAGGAAAGAGCTTGGAGTTTCAGGAAACTGAAAAGAGATCATGGGACTTCAATAGGGAGATTGAGTGTGTCTTAAATTGGGGCTGGAAAAGTGACCACGGCCACACAAAGGATCTGGGTTTTATTCTAGGGCTACAAGTCCTTGGATCACTTCAAGCATCAGAATCAAGTGACCTGTTTAGGGTTTTGAAAGATGGCACTGCTTGAGTTGAAAGGGAAGGACCAGAGGAGGGAGAAGTGGGAAGCAAGGCAGTCCCAAGGAGCTTCAGTAAGCAGCCAGCACAGAGTTTGGTAGACTGAGACCCAAGCTCAAATCCAGCCCAGCATGGCCTTCTTTGTAATGGAAGTTTCACTGGAACACAGCCACACTCATATTGTCTTTGAATGCTTGTCATTCAAATATTTGGCAATATGACAAGGACCCAGACCCCCAAAGACTGCAATAGGTACAGTCTGGCCCTTTAGAGAGAGTTTTCCAACCCTAGAAATCAAAGACAAGACGATGATCAAGTCCACATTCTGTGCACTGGAGTCCTGATGTCCATGTCACTTGTTACAATGAGACACAATGCCTGTGGCCCATCCCCTCCCTCCTGCCCTTGATGGTCAAGGCTCCCATGGAGAAAGCAATGAAAATGGATCTGTAAGACATAATCATGGCAGGGGGGAGTGTGCAGTGATATGCATGCCCACAAAATACCTGCAAATGCCGGAACTGGGCAATGACAGGGGAAACAAAGAGGTAATTCGAGGGTCAGGTGTGCAGGTGAGATCTCTGGGGCTCATGAATGGCACTGACGATATCGGGGGATCTGAGGAAGACATGGAAATTGAGGGCAGTGTCAAGGTTTCTGGCTCAAGTAATATAAGACCGTTGCTAAACTAAGAAGAGTAAAAGTTTTCAAGAGAAAAATCAATATTTTAGTAATATCTTCCTCAAGAATTTATGAAAGCCTGGAATTTCAGAGGCGATCAAGAACTTAAAGTCAATATAGGCTAAAACTGATGAGGTGGGTTTTAATGTTTCATTGAAGTCTTCTATACAAAAATGTACATTCTAAGTGCTGACACAAATAACGTGCACAAAGAGACAGATTTTATTAAAAAGGTGAGAAAGTGAACACACATACACACACACATACACACACACACACACACACATGAGCAGATCGCCTCATATAGAGG